TTGAAGTGAACAATTTTATATTTATTTGTTTATTTTTTTTTTTAGTTATTTTATTTTATTTTATTTTTTTTTAGTTATTTTTTTTTAGTTATTTTATTTTATTTTATTTTATTTTATTTTATTTTTTTTTAGTTATTTTATTTTAATTTCTTTATTTTATTTTAATTTTTTTATTTTGATATGTTTTCTTATTTCGAATTTTTTTTTTATTTTGATATTTTTTATTATTTTAATATATTTTATAGTATTTAGATTATTTGCTGGATCGTTTTTATTATAATATTTTGAGTTTCTTATTATTTTGAAATTTACGTTATTTTTAATTCTCTATTTTGGATAAATTTTATTTATTTGAAAAACTCGTTAGATATTTTAAAATTATAATTTTTCAGTTTTCTGATTATTGTATGCATGTAAATATTTTCAAAACTAAATTTGTTTAATTATTCGTTATGTCGATTCTTTTAAATATAATTAAGGTGGCAAAAAGTGAGTGAATGTGCGCAATAAGCCTTTCAAATACCAATTCAAGGTAAAAAAAAATATGCAGAATACAAACAATAATAACGGTAAAACTTAAAGCATTCGAAAGGAGGTGAAAGTTGAACGAACAGACAATGTACGATGATTGCATTTCGCACGGAAGGGGTAGGGAGCATATAAATTAGATGTAAGTGTGTAAAATTGAACGATTTCATTTTGTATGTGAGTGTGTGTATTTAAATGTGTGCATGTATATGTGCGTGTGCATAAATGTGTGTGTATGAATATGCTTGCTTTGTATGAACATGCGCTTGTGCGCGCGCAATGATTTCACTTGCAATTCAAAATTATAATAATTACAAATATAAAAAAAAAGTTTGGGTCAATTAAAAATAGCGAAAAAAAACGCTTGCTAGCATAGTAGTTGCTTATTTGCTGGCTTTCATTTACTCAAACGTATGTATATATGTATGTAGGTTTAAGCAAAAAGCTAGTTCGATTATTTCAAAAAGAGATTGATTGTTAACTATTCCACATTAAAAGAATTTTTTTCTGTACAAAAATTAATTTAGTTGTTTCTATAGCACATTAGCAAATTATTTTTGGCCTACTACTTCTGTTTGTTTTTTGTTTATTTGATTTTCTTTTGCGTTTCTTCCAATTACATGGATTCTTTATTATTATTTTTCTTTTGTTTTGTTTATGATTTTTTCTAGTAGTGCGTGTCATTGGGATAAACTTACAGTAGGGCTTACGAGTTTTTTTGCGTAGACAAGATGCCACATAGCTTTCCAGTTCGCGCAACGTTGACGGCTTCAATGTTTCGAAATCAATTTCAATCTCATCCGGATTGGAGTCTCGCAGTGAGGGTTCGCGATTTTGTATTATATGCACGACTCGACCAAGCTTATCACCTAAAACACACAAACAATAAAATTTATGAATAAATTAAATTAGATTAAATAAAATTTTGCGCTTAACTCACCTGGCAGTTTATTAATATCCAATGAAAGCTGTCGCTTCTCATCATACGACATCGGCTTGGCCGTATCTTCTTCCTCCGAATCGAAATTCATCACCTGACTGGGCTTTTTCTTGTTGTTGCCGCGTACTGGAGCACCGCCGGCATTTGCTGCCGCACCAGCCCCGCCACCGCCACTAGCTGCTGCCGCGCCACCTTTTGTGCGTTTATTTGCGCCTGCGGCACCGCCCGCGCCAGGTGCGCCACCACCAGTTGTCCCGGCTTTCGGACCGCGTTGACCCTTCACCTTATTACCCTTGCCGCCGGGAGTACCACCTACTGCCGCTGCGCCAGCCAAGCCTGCAGCCAACGGCGCACCCTTGCTGCCCACTGTTCCTGCGGCACCCAATTGTCCCATCGCCATGGCAGTGGCCAAATCAGTGCCATGCAAATTCGCGCTTGCTACCAATGCCGCATTCACACTCACACCGGCGCCTACTCCACCAACACCACCAGTTTGTGCATGCACGCCACCCACTCCAGCCATAGCGGCGCCAACACCGACGCCACCGGTGCCACCCTTTTTCTTCTCCTTTAACTTTTTCTTTGCCTTCTTTTTATTGGATGCTTCTTCCATTAGTTTACGCATCTCTTCTTGCAGGTCGAGCAGTTTGGCTTCCAGTAACTTGAGTTTAGCATTGCGCTCCTCATCGGAATTCGATTCGTTTTCCGTATCTGAGGATTCATCCGACGATGTATCACTGGCATCAACGCCAGCGCCAACACCACCGCCGCCGCCACCGCCCCCAACACCACCAGCACGTTTCGTTGTTGAGGAGAATGCATGGTGGGCAGCAGCTGCGGCAGCTGCATGCGCATTGGCCACCGGTTCGTCGGGTATGTTGGCATAGCGCATTTCGAAGACGTCCTGCAACTTGCGACCCATAGCGACAACGTCATGATCTGGCGGGTTGTACTTATAGCAATTGGTGAATATTAATCGCACATCGGCGGCGAACTCAGGTGCGCTCTTATATTCGCGATTGTCCATTTTCCGTTTCACTGTGCCCAAATCCATCGGTTTCTTTATTATATCGTGATAGTCATGCAAACCGAGCAATTCAGCATCGACGGGCTTGTAAAATGGCCAAGCGTAGCCAGAGTGTTTTTTAGAAAACAATTCTTTGAGGATTTCATTGCATGATTTTAATGCGTCTGACAACTTCTCCTTGTTTTTGACTGCTCCTGGTACGCCAGCACCAGCTCCTCCAGCAATGCCCATACCACCAGGCGCCATACCAGCAACGGCCATTGGTGACAATGGGTAGGCGGATCCTTGAAATGCTAGATCCTGTAGGACAGACAGTATATTAATAAGAAACTGTCGAAAAATCATACATATATACACATAAGTGAAGAATAAGAGTGTCTGAAATAATGATTTGCAATGATTTATATTTTGTTGTAATTTCTGTTAATCTTTTTCATATATTCATTTTTGGAAATATGTATTTTTCTTTTTAATTGAATTTAAATTATAAAAAGGCGGCGTGGCGCAATAGCATGATGAGCGATTCTTCTGACAGTATAACCAATGATCCTTTAATTAATTGCTTTTTCTAATGACAATTCCAAAAACAAGAGCACATGGGAGGCGAGATGGAGGGTGAGGTTTGGATGGTACATAAAATATATACATATGTGATCGATGAAATGTAGAAAAATAAATTACTAAAAATTTTTTTTTTTAAGTATTGATCATCGAAATTTTTTTTTTTTTTTTTTTTTTTTTTTGTAAATTAATAAACGTGTGCTTTAAACGAATTGTAAAGAGTTTTTCCAAAAAATATTCCACATATAAATAAATGGAATGTAAGCAACCAAAACCGTGATATATTTTCAAAACTATATCAAAGCGAACCAACAGAATACCGTTAGCCTCGTATCTTCTCCATAATATAACACCCACCCCTCTTCTCTTCATTGCACTCTCAGCCAGCCAGCGCTCGCCTACCTTTTTATTCATTACCTGTCGACTGGATTCGCGTCTAGTTGCGATTTTAGCGCTCTTGGCATCGATTTGCGCATATGGTGTCATTTCAAAGGCATTCGCAGTCGGCGTCGTTGTATCGGCCTTTCGTTTCACACCTTTCTTTATTTTCGCCGGCTGTTGAGGCGGTATAACGGCATCGCCTGTGCTATTCACGCTGCTGTGATGATACGCGGACAAGACGGCCGCACCAGCGGTGGCAGTTGCAGAATTAGGTGCGATGCCGCCGGCGACTCCACCTGCAGCATTCAATCCACCGCCGCTGATGGCGCCACTACTGGCGTCGAGTAACGATGAATTTACCGCGCCGGCAGCACTTACAGACGCCGCCAGGGCGGCATTAGCACCCACTAAGGAACCTCCTGCTACTGCACCGGATGGCAATATGCCAGCGGTGGGTAGTACTGTGGTGCCGGCGGCAGCTAACGCTGCACCCGCGCCAGCCGCGATAGCGGTAGTTGTTGTATTTGTGCTGCCCGGCACTGTTTGTGGCGGCAAAGTGCCAATGGGTGGAATGGCGGGTGTATTTGTTGCGGTAGTGCCGCCCGTCGACGACACTGTGCTGCTCAACGATGAATGCGGGCGTGCAGGAGCGCGTGGTGTAGCCGCTGTTGACGCTGCAGACGCCGCTGTCGCACCAACAACCGGTGTGTGTAATAACGCTGAGCTGGGTGTAGCCGGTTTACCGGGTGGACGTGGCTTCTTTTTACCACCCTTCGGTGTTACTGGCTCCAATTCGATTTCCTCTTTGGGCATGGCTTCGATTTTCTGAAGGAAGACCTTTTCCAGTGTTTGTGCCATAACGACAACATCCTCACCGGGTTTGTTGTAGACATAACAATTGGTGAACATTGTATTGAAATCTTGTATGGCCTCTTTGGCAGACCAATAGTAATTATTCTCCAGCCGCTTCTTTATCGTACCCATATCCATCGGATGTGTTATTATCTTATGATAATCAGGCAGGTTTAACTTTTTCGCATCGACTGGTTGCTGGAATGGCCAAGAGAAATGATGTTTCCAAATTGCTTTCATAACGGTTTTAATGAGATACTGCAGTTGATTTGTATTGCGACCGGGTCGATCGGGTGGCGGCATGGTTGGCGGTTGTACAATTCCGTTAACCGGCTCCACATATGGTTCATCACGTGGCGGTGGTTCCTGCGACATTTTTATACCTTTGTAAACAACCTCAAGCACACGCAGACAATCGCACTTGCAATTGCGGGGTGATTAATATGCTTTGATGATAATACTCGACGACGCGCTGATGCTTATGACCTGCTTCTACTCAAGTGTTTTTGTGTGCGTTTTTGTAGTCTCAATGAACGCGCGTCTATTTTAATCTATTTGATATTATAAAATGAAGTTTTTTTTTTTTCTGAATGACCGTAGTTTGCAGGGAAGATACTAAGACTTTTAGAGCGGGTGGACCGCTGGGAGGAAAATGCTTGCGTGACCTTTTTTATAAATGATTGTATTTTATTAATGATCGCCTACGCAGCTCTTCCTCCTCTCCAGGTCTACAGTAAGCTGTCTGTCGCCTTTTTATAATTTATTTGCTGGCTCGCTCGCAATGTGGTTAAGATTTAAAATCCTTTTTTGCAGTCTAGTATTGTGGTAGTATAGTAGTTTAAAGGTAGCTCTCGATCCTTCCGTTGTTTGAAATTGAAAAACTTTACGAATTGATTTTGACACTACGTTTTTTTTAATTTTTGTTGCTGCTGTTGTTGTTATTGAACGCCGCATTTTATGGCAAGTAGATCAACTAAAAATGTGAAAGAAAATCGTATGTATTAAAACTTCGAATGAAAATAAAAATTGTAAAATACATACAAACATTTTTTTAGTACTACCACCGAGACTCACCACACATTTATAACAACAGTTGGAATATTCAGTATCAGCTGGAAAAACTGCACATTTTTCAACTGTTTCTGTGTTGTATCTGCCAATACACAATACAATAGTAAACAAATATGTATGCTTGTATCTTCGCACTTGTGAATTCCAAATGTAGTATTAAAAAGTCTAAATTTTTTTTTAACTCAAACTCGTGCGGGTCAACTGATATATGGATATGGAGCACTGAAACTGTAATGAAGAAAATAAACATTTCGTTAATAAAAATATTGTAATTGAATATTATATTATTCAATTGTTTGTTATGTTTCACAAGTTGTATTGTCTAGTAAATATATAAGACATATAAATTATGTATAAAAATAATTTGTGTGTTCTTCTAAATAATCGAAATTTTAAAAAGGACAAAATGAGCTCGGATTTTCTCAAAATAAACCAAAACGTTGTGATCATATCACGGAAAGCTCCCCAGAAGAGCTTAATTGTTTATAACATTATTCTTATCCTCACTATTTTTACCCCATAAATAACTCATACAAAAGCAAACAAAATTCAATATTATTTATATGAATTAGTGGAAAAATGCAACGAAAACAACAAACGACCAATAGGCGTCAACCAACAAACCAATCAAACAACAATAACATCAAACCTCAGACAGCAACAGTCACAGTGGAGCCAAGGGCGCTTTTAGACGCACGAATAAATAATTAAAATGGAGAAAACATACATAAATATGAATGTATGCGTGTATGTATATGCACATATATATTTATGCACCCGCTCACACTAATTTTACACGTCGCACATCTGTACATAGTATGTCACTATAAAAATGCAAAATACACCATTAAACAATAGAAATGAAGGCTTCACTTCGATGCCATTACTGCAGAAAAAAACGTTAATAAAAGTTCGATAATTACCAATACAATCACAAATAATCGAATCATACAAACATGGCTATAAAATAATGAATTACTACAAAAGCCATTTTTTTATTCGTCATACGGAGACGACATATGTACCTAAATAAGTAAAACTGCAACAACGAAAATGGAGGAAAGCATAGTTATGTCTAAAAAAAAAAAAAAAAAAAAAAAAAATGTGTGAATGTGCGCTTTTATATAGCAGCAACGCATAATTCCATGTGAAATTTATTTTGGCGCAAATTTACTAACATTTAAATATGCCATCATCAAACAGAGAATTGTTTTTAAATGTTATGATATGAAAGATAATCTCATGGCATATAGAATTTATGTGCATTGTTATAAAAATCTCAAATAAAAAAACACTAAAAATAAAAAAATCAAAGGAAAAAAAAGTAAATGTGTACACACAAAATTATTTTCTTTTTATTAAAAGACATAAATACATACATAATTGTGTATCTTCGAAATTGTTTTTTTTTTCATTAATGCATTTTTCAGATTGCTGCAGCACAGCCCTTGCACTACATTTCAACACTAAAACAGAGCAAGCAAACAGTATATGTGCATAGAAAAATACTACCAAAACACAAACTAATCATCTTCTTTTAACACATGATTTCGGTATATGCGGCGCTTTCGAACGAAATTCAAAATGCAAAAAAAAAAACCGATCGAGAGCGCGCACGAGCGCACGTATCCGCAATATATACAAACATATGTACACACAACACACGGGCAGCGCAACCGTTCATTCAAATGGGAGCCGATCAGAAGTTGCCACATTTGCTTTTGTAAAATAAACAAGGCTTTAAGAAATTGTTATAAATGATTAATGGCATAAAACGATTCTTGGGAGGAAAAACAATTGAATAGTAGTAACTCTTAGTCACACTGCCAAGAGCCATCAAAAAATATTTTCTATATATATAAAATAGAGAGTTCAAAATAACCAATTTACATTAGCTTTAAGCATATGTGCCAATGGCAACATCATTGACAACAGGCGATGACAAACCGCAAAAACAACATCAGCACTGACACCGAATTAACGCCATAACACACATAACATAACATATAGAAATAGCCGCAACGATTCATTTTTGTACAGTAGACAACGACTCGGCAGGGTTCGGAATTCCCAGTCGTCACTTTGTTGCTCTTGCTGCCACTGTTGTTTTGTTGTTGCGTGTGTATGTGAATAACCAATGACAATGCTTTGTTATTCCATTCGTTTGGGTGGCTCATCGCATGTTCTTTTTGACTTCTTTCATTCATACTCGTTCAAAGTAACTTAACTCGTTAATTTAAATAACGAATGAGACTCGTTAATTTTCAACGAGCGTAGTGCCACCAACACCGCTACTCATAAAAATCAAGGTAACACCACCACTATACATCGTCGTTCAAGTTCGAACTCATCATCGTTGTCGCCGTCGCCGTAGCCGTTTTCGTCGTCGTCCCCGACGAGAGGAAGTGAAATTTTTCATTCAATTCATACCAAAATTCCAAATCTCACTCACTTTGCCTTCAAGCACTTTTTATTTGCAAATTTTCCCTTCAAAACACATCATTTTCATCTGAATTTTACATTATAAATAAGTAGGATCATTTTTTCTATTGTTATTTCAAATAAATTTTTATGTAAATTTTATTCAATTAACACAAAAACTTATTTGCAAAAACCTACTTCGCTTCGTGTCTTTCAACACACACAATTTACACAGAAGCAAAATGAACGACGGACGTGATGGATGAAAAGCGAAAAATTTACAACAAAAGCGCAGAGGGTGCAGCAAAACCGAACGAGTAAAAAGGAAGCAACAAAATACCACTGAATAAAATGACATCGGTTGTCACTTTCGCTCCAAGTAACTAGCGCAGCATATCAGCAAAATATGTAAAGCAAACCATTTGTATATAGGAACACAGAAAGAGATAAATACTTGTTTTGTTGAGGTGAGAAATTCGAAATCGAAAGCATGAGACGCTTTGGGGATATCGTCTGAAGCCGAAATAACGAGCTCACATAGGCACTAGACCGCCCATTAAACTCACAAGAATCTCACGCGATTCGACAGCTATATGCTCCAACGCTCCAAACAAAGTATAAAATCGAAAAAATTTGAATAACATAAATATATATTTGTAATGAGTAGAGAAGTTCAGGTGAGACTTTTGGACAAGTTGTGAAAAAACAAGTCCAAACAATTTAAGTGCCTTCCAAATCAGCTCATAGGGAAAAGTAAAATAACCTAGTTGTTTGATGCAAAATTTAAGTTGAACTTTCATCTAGAAATGGCGCGCGAAACGTTTTGCCGCTAAAAGTGCTCCAGAAAAGAAAAACTAGAAAAAATTAGTTGGCGCACAACCGGAATACATTACCTGCTTATCTAAGTTTTCAATCCAAAAGAACTGTCTTTCGTATGCAGTCTGTATGTAGTAATTATTCTTTATGGTTTGTTATAGATTATCGGTTATACCGATAAACTGTTGATTTAGTGTTATCTATAACTTTACACTCGGTTTTGTTGTCATTTGTTTTTGAGTGTACTAAATGCACGAATTTGTTAATTATAATTGCTGTTCTTTTATAATTACATCTAATATTGCCAAATTAATTAAACACTTGGTTGCTGTAAGTAAAACACGGAAACGAATACAAACAAATATTGTAAGTTATGCAAATAGAAACATATCTTTTGGGATGAACGACGGACGTGGTGGACTATTAAAACACTTCACTTAATCCAATCGTTGGCGACTCATTTCGATTAAAAAAAAAGTTAAGACACATTAGTTCAATTTATCTATATTTGCCACCGGCCACTATAATTTGTCATGCTTCCTACACGTATTTAAACATATCGAACATCAAAACGAAAATTATAAGAAAATCCCAGATTCCCGAGGAATTAACATCACAAACACACACATCTGCTAGCACGTAGGGACCCTCATGTAGCCAGTGGCAATGGCAGCAGCCGCCGCACCGCCATTGACAACAACAGCAACAATCCAAACCGAGTGAAATTTTTCAATTTTTTCTGCTTCTTTTCGGAACTCTTTCGTCTTCGCGTAGTTTCTCTGCTTCTTCACACTACGGCCTACCGAATTTGTGCCTTTCTGTTGTCCAGCGGAGTCGCACTTTTCAAACGCAATTTTCCAGCCAAAAATTCGCACGCACTCACCGAATTCCACACGCCAAAGCTTAAGCGGATATTTAACTACACTTTTTTCACAAATTGCTATTTATATCTGCAATTTTTACCATATATTTTTGCAATTTTCAACACGTACGCGTTGTGACCGAGACGCGCATTTGCAAGCCGTCAAATATACAATTTTCGAACAATATCACCTATATACTGATTTCACTTGCTTAGTTTACCCTTACATCGGCAGGTACACATGTTTGAAAGAGATAAATAGTTATTTTCGTTGGCATGGACTTACGTGTGTGTACTAAAAACGAAAACGAAACAAAATGGCTGTCATAGTCACAGATATGAATACAATTTTATTGGGACACAAAGCAGCTATTAAAAATTGCATTTTCATAATCGAATGCAGATTTTTCAGTAATTTACAATTTTATGCAATTTACAAACATAAATATTGTAATGAAACAATCATAACGTTCGAATACGCGATAAAATCGCAATGCACTTCATGACAACGAATTTATTTCATCACAGCGACACAAATTCACAGTACAGGGTGACCACAAATGGGAAGGAGTCATTTTGAAAATTTTTCTGATGTTTTCGATTTAAAATAGGGTGTAAGATATAAATTATATAAACTTTAAAATAATAAATTAACACAGTACAATAAAAAACAATTATTAAATGATGAATAATATTCACGTCATTATTCAAAATGCAATTTAAAGCTCTTAATTGCAAAGTCTAATTCCATGAAAATACAATAAAGTTAAATATCACGTATAAAAATTATTTTTACACATTTATCAAAATTATGGTTGTGTCAGAATTTAGGCAAGCACTCCTAAGTATTTTACTATTTATTTTAGTTTATATTACTTAATTTTTAAAGAAATGAATCCCATCCTTGTTCTTGATAAAGAAACTGAAGCGAAAATCCGAATTGAGGATTTGATCCTAATCTTGTGGAAAAGTGATTTTTAAATAATCCTCATTCTCAGTACAAAATGTTGTTTTGTTTTTAATTCAGTATTTATCTCTCAATTATATAGTTATGGCTTCATTTTATTTAGTTTTATTTGACTAAATTAAACAAACGTCCATGAAATAAAAAAATGCAATATTTCTCTGCTGTTGGCATCTCTTTTCAATTATTTTTGGTTCACTGGAAGAAAAATAAATGTCAAAACGCTAACGAATCTATAAAGCAATTTGATATTGAAACCTATATACTCGTAAAAACCGACGTGCAGAAATCTAATAAGTTTTTGTGTACACGCAACCATTTGCAAAAATCAAGAATTGAAGGTATAATACATTACCATACTAATCAAGAAAATAATAGCCTTTAGAGGAAGGTATTTCATTGTTAAAACAACAACAATAAGCCCAGCTATAACACTGAAATGCCACGAGGAAAGTACGTGAATCACAAAGGCAGGAGCCGTCATTTTACTTCTCCTGAAGAATTGGCCAGCGCCCGCGATGAGTCTACCGAAGAGGAGGAGACCGAATCCGAAGAAGATGGCGACAATGTTGCTGCAGGTACAAGCAAATCTGCACGCGCTAAACCAAAACCACAAACAAAGAAGCCAAGTGATGGTGGCGCAAGCAGCAGCGAAGGAGATTCAGATGAAGAATCATCCGAGGAGGAAGATCGTGATGCCCGTAAAGGTGTCGCTTCACTCATTGAAATCGAAAATCCTAATCGTGTTACAAAGAAAGCAACACAAAAATTAAATAATTTGAAATTGGACGAAACGACGCCTACTAAGCCGGAGCTAACAAGACGTGAGCGTGAACAAATAGAAAAGCAAAAAGCGCGTGCCCGTTATGAACAGTTGCATGCTGCCGGCAAAACAACTGAGGCCAAGGCGGATCTCGCCCGTTTAGCGCTCATTCGTCAGCAACGCGCTGAAGCAGCAGCCAAACGTGAAGCTGAAAAGAAGGCTCTGGATGCAAAGAAACCAGGCAGTAAGGCATAAAATGCTCTTTCATCTGGGAACACGGCAATTATATCGACTTTTAACTTACATTATGATCTTTTTATATTATAATTTTGTTTTATCTTTTAATAACTCGCTGCAGTTTCCGCTCATTTTTGTATTGGGCGGACAAAAAATGTTTCATATAGCCGAATAAAAATTTCCAATCTAAATAATAAACATACATTAACATATATATACCAACGGTAGCAAATAGAATGAAGTTAGATATCAAGATTGTTATTTGCAAAGCTAGATCTGGCAACAAGAAATATATAACAGTACAACAAGCTAGCCACATAGACACGGCAACGAGTCTCGACCGCTTTATGACTATACGTAATGTACATTGAATGAATAAAGAAAATTGCAGTTTTTAAAATTTCTTTTTATTTTACTTAATATCTAAGTAAACTCATTTAAATAAAGGATTATAAACTAATATCATTTTATACAACATTCCAAACTTCTTCAAAGGCACTGCATAATTTGCTGCAAGCAATAGCAGCCGATAGTGGATAGTTACTGATCGAAAATAACCCCTCAGAATAGTCGGGATTCAGGACACCATGCGCAAAAGCGCCCACAATCAAAACAATGGGTTCCTCAGCGAGCTCGTCTGTGTTGATGCCATTATCCTGTACTCTAGGCACCAATTCGCGAGGGTTAGCGACAAGCTTACCCGAAAAAGACATTGCATACTTCTTACACCCCACAGGCAGATGATCCGTTATGGGATTCTTTATCACCTTCATCAACATGGCGGAAGTATCTGTGGCACGTACAGAGAATTTGTGAAGCAGTTGCACCATTAAACCAGCAAATCGTTTGAAGGTACGTGGTATACGTGTTTGTGGATTGATTTCGATAAGCACATTCTTCTCGGTGCGAACGTACACCTGTAGCAACCCGGCGCGGTTTAACGGTGAATCGAAAAGCATTAACAAACATTGATGTGTTATGTCAGGTCGGCATTTGCCAGGATCACGATTGTTTTTGCGCATAATATTTTGATGATCATCACAATTTAGCAGCTCAAAAACTCTGCCAACCTATAAAAAAAAAATGTTTTTTTGATAATTATAAACATTTCATATGTACTATCATCCAGTTAATTACCTTTACTGTCTCCAGCTGTGCACCTTCCAATACAATTATTAAGCGTTTTTCCAAAGCGCGTAAATGTGTTGTTTCTAAATGTTTTTTCTTTAAGTCAAACTCAGGATCATCCTCTCCAGCGGTTCCTTGAAACTTCCGTTTTCTTTTAACACCTTTGTCGTTCTGGTTGAACTTTTTATTATTGCCCATAACTTCAAATGTTTTTTTATTTCTTATAAAATACTAATCAACGGAATTAGAAAAATTTATTTATAAATCCCTTAACACGTGCACTGCAAAAATGCTTTCGTCTGACATCAAAGAACAAGAAATAGTAAACAAAAACATTCGCAGGGTGAATTCATGAATTCATAAAAGGTGAATTATTGCCGTCATATGATTGCCTGCTTTTGGATCCTCAACGTCAAATTACAAAAACAAAATACATGCCATTTAGATGTTCAACATATGTATGTTCGTACGGTTACACGAACACAGTATACAGCCTTTATTCGTTTTTCAACCTTGCTGGTCCTGCTATGAATTTGCTTTGAGCATTGCTTATTCGTAATGCCACAAGACAAATACAGGGTGCCTTTCTCACCACAATTATTAATTAATAATTTAATTTCCAATATTATTTGAAAGCGAAAAAGTAATAAATTACCTGCTATATATAGGGATATGGCAGCTTGGTGAAGCAACTGGAAATGTAAAAACAGCTGTTCCCAATTGCCAAACGATTGGTAATTTTTCCAGCTGTCAACTGAGATAAATATTTGTTTCTTTGATTTTTAAGGGGGAACAATAAATTAATTGTATAAAATATAACGAAAATGGCAGCGAGGCGCGATGTTGCAACATTAATTCAACGACTGCGTGCATTCCTGCTGGGCGTAAGTTTTTTTTTATGGCAGTTAATTGTTTGCTTGGTACCTTTTGTCTGCGTTATATAATACAATCGAAATATTTTGTGCATTTAGCGTGAACACACATTGGCTTTACGTTTCGAGGATGGCGTAGCTGAGCGCACGCAACCACCCCCAGAGGTTCCTGGTGGTCCTGCACATCTAATTGCCGCAAATTTCTACTATAAACGTGATCCACGTCGGGAAGTACAACCGCCCATTGATGTTGTACAGCAACAACTATTAGCCGACAAGGCAGGAGAGAAAACCGAAAAGTTGCCAACACCAGGGTCAGTTTATCGTTGGGATTAAATAACAAAATGTACATATAGCAAACAGTTAAAGGCATAAAAATTCGATTGTGAATCGAAAGTAATTTAAAACTATTCAATATTGTTTTTAGTTATCTTGTTTTTTTTTATAAGTAACTCAGGCTCAGGAAAACCCATTTGCCCTCATCTGGGAAAAACCTTTGCAAGGTACTCCATCCATGGAAAGTCAATGTAAGGTATTGATCCCCGTGTTAACGAAGAAATAAATATTAAGAGTTGGCTCGGGCGTGCTCCCCCTTTGGGAATCTACTAATCTAACTTCAAAAACCCGTACGAAAAAGGACGAGACAACGACGACGATTGGCACCGGTTGTGCAGTAATAAGCAATGTGTGGAAAATGGGTGGGGTGGTACCGCTGGGAACAGCCAACAAAGGAGAGTCCTATCAGCCGATAACTCTCCTCTCCCCAGTAGCTGCTCCCGACTTTTACTCACCATCTGCGTCCAGCAGCGCATCAGCATGGCTTCCGAAAAGAGCACAGTACCACAACAGCATTAAACGCAATAAACACCCAGATAGTCCATGGCCTTAACCAAAACAGACCCTGCGCGCTAACTGTCCTGATAGCATTGGACTTGTCAAAAGCTTTTGACACAGTCAATCACTCAGTGCTACTAACGGACATTGAGGAATCCTCATTACCGCCGGTGTTGCAGACGTGGGTCATGGGCTACCTGAGTGGTCGACAATCATCGGTAATATTCCGAGGTGTAACATCTAAACCCAGGAAAATTAAACAGGGGCTTCCGCAGGGTGGTGTCCTCTCCCAGCTACTATTTAATTTCTAAATCTCGAAACTCCCTCCACCACCAGAAGGAGTTTCCCTAACCTCTTATGCCGATGATTGTACGATAATGGCGTCTGGCCAGGATATTGACGACCTCTGCTCGAAAGTGAACCGCTACCTCACTGATCTCTCCCACTTCTTCACTGCAAGACAGCTAAGAACACAACCGACGAAATCCTCGGCTACCCTCTTCACCAGCTGGACGAAGGAGTAGATGTGAAGGTCGATGACACAAAAATTCCGACGGTAAATAACCTCCTGATGTCTCCGGAGCATCACTTGCACAGCGAAGCATCTATGCTACGAGTTTTGCTGTGCAAGCAGTTCCTATTGGGATGCCACCTTAGGGAGCACCCCATTAGGCACCTAATAGAAGCTGAACCTCCACCTAGGCACATCAGAAAGGGAGTATTAGACTTAAAGGACACAATCCAGCAATATGTACAACAACCGCTGGACAGGACAGCGTACAGACAATCACTGAACGCCATTCACCAGGAGGCAGTCAACACCTTCAAGGACTCCCTTCCAGTGAATGGCGTACTCGGAGAGAAACCACCACATATAGCAGACAACGAGCTCGAGCTGCTTCGAGAGACCCAGGTTAAGCTCCTATTTATCCAGACTAGACCCCAGCATACCCAACGTATGCCCTGCATGTGGAGAGTCTCCGCACGACACTAACCACCTCTTCACATGCCCTCTCAAACCAACTCATCTAACCCCCCCCCTCTCCCTCTGGTTCAACCCCATCGAGACAGCTCGTTTCCTGGACCTTCCACTAGATGACCTCGGCGACTTAGACTGATCAAACCTGTGCCTAAGCGGGGTTAGCGAACCGCTACAACAACAACAACAATAGATTCCATCATGCAATTGAATTCATTAAGCTAATTGGCTGGAAGACTGGCTCCGGTGTACTGAGGGTGCGCATTATCTGAGTCCTACATAATTTTAAGGGCACAGGCACAGTTGTATATTTGTAAGTTTGACTGTATTGGTTTTCCAGATTACTACTATTTAATTCAGAGAATAAGTGGCAGCACTGTAAGAGTTTCTTGAAGTTGGTTGCTATGAACATACATTTTTCCGCAAAAATTTGCAATTCGATTCTACTTTGAATGTTAAATTAAGAGCTGAGTTTAACTGGAATAAAACATAATTAAACTTGGTACATTTATATTTTGCTCTGAGTAATCGCATGTTGTTTTGAAGAAAATAAGATTGAAGTTTTGCAAAAAAAACTCTTATTAATTATAATTTAACACTACCAAGCATTTTCAAAAATTTGGTTTACTGCTTCGTTGCTCAGTTCAAACGCTACTTTTTGATTTTTTTTTTTGAAAATCAAGGCACAACCGATATAAAACCATTTTATGAGTAAAAAAAAAAAATTAAACAACATCTTCAAAAAATACGGTAAATATCACAATTTTATTGCTTTTTCAGCGCATTACAAGCATATACATATGTATGTGGTTATATACAGTGGCTCAAAAATGAACTCGGACACACAAGTTATATGAATTTAAACAAAAAAATATATAATAAAATGCAAATCGAGGGCTTTCTGTTTAACATATATTTCTATTCTTCAAGTGTATTTTTCAAAACAACCAAAACCATAAACTAAATTCAACTCGGTCGTTTAAAAATAATATGAACATAACAACTTAACAAAACTGATGACAAAAAAGAACATAAAACATATAACGACATATACATAACATAGAATTTAAAAATATTATTTAAAGAGAAACAAAAAAAACTTAATATTTGGTCTGATAGCATTCAGTCTTCTTAGCAAAGATTCAACTAGCTTCTTGCATGTTAAAGAATTTATTTTCCCCCACTCTTCCAAAATATCGGCTTCTAGGTCTCTCTTATTTCTAATAACATACATTTTCAGTTTATTTTCCAAATGAGCCCACAGATGTTCATTTACGTTAATGTGGGGAGATTGAGGAGAACATACAACCCCATACCATTACTGAGCCGCCCCCGTGTTTAACAGTCGGACGTAAATTCTTTTCTAGCAACTCTTCATTCGGTTTTCTCCAAACATACGACTGTCCATCTGACCTAAATATATTAAATTTGCTTTCATCTGCTAATAAAACTTGTTTCCAGAATAGAAAATCCTTATCCCCATGACATTTTGAAAATTTTATACCTTTTTTCGGTTAATCTCGTTTCTTCCGTGCTATTCGTCCATTATAATAATTTTTTCGTAAGACTATTCGGATACTCTCCGGATTACAATTTATATTGAGATGTTGCAAGACTTCTGTTGAGAGCTTGGGAGCGCTCATGCTTGGATTTTTTTTTCTGATTTGGTGCACTATCCACCGCTCATCTGCAGCCGAAAATAACTTCGGTCGTCCAGACTTCTTTTTGTTTTCCACGGATTTTGTTTATTTGAATCGTTTAATCACGTCATGCACAGTCGAGCGGGGTCTGCTCACAATTTCTGCGATTTCCCGAATGGTTTTTCCTATTTCAAAATGACTAATAATTAACTGTCTACCCATGTTGGAACTTTTCACCTTTTTTTTTCAAAAAAAAAACTACTGAAATTTTATTTAAAACTATTACGTTTGATTATATACACACATATGTATGTTTAAACGAAAACAAATTAATTGTGGGACTCCCCTAATTAAAATGCCAAGCAACTGTAATACAATATTACCAGATGTCCGACTTCTTTTTTGGCGAAATTTCTAGCATGCCACATGTTAATTTTTTAAAGTAAGGGTATAGGAGACCTATAAACTATTTAATTTTGGTATTTTTAAAATCCTCTTTGGATACCCTATAGAAACATAAAAAACAAAAATGCTTAATAACAATTGGTTAAAAAAATCTAGCTGGAAGTTGCATGTTAATAACAGTGGAATGTATGTCCGAGTTCTTCATTTAGGCACTGTATGTACCTGTATCCCCTCTTCTTACTCATACACACGCCTTTTAAGCCCCATATTAACGCCACTTTTCGAACGTAGCACAATTTTGATAGACGGCTCCACGGGTGCACCCATGGGTAAGAGTTCGAAATGACGTAGCACTTGCACCAGCACAGTACGTATCTCGAAAATGGCAAACTTTTGACCAATGCAGTTACGGGGCCCCGCACTAAAGGGTATATTACTGAAGGGATTTGCACGTTCATTAGCAGTCGCATGACGTTCGGGCCAAAAACGTTCTGGATCCTCGTATACATCCGAATCACGTAGGATTTGCCAAAGTAAAATAAGTACATTCGTGCGCGGTGGTAGTGTGACATCAGCTGGAGAGAACTTTTTGACTTTTGCGATAAAAAATTTACAAATATTTTATAATACTCACGCAGAATTAGCTCCTCTTTCAGCCAACGTCCAATAACTGGTATGGGTGGATACAAACGTAATGCTTCTTTAATTACACAATTTAAGTAATTCAAATTCTGTAAGTCGCAAAGTTTAATTGGACGCTTAGTATCATCACCGAAATGAGCGCGTATCTCCTCGAATAGCGTGCGTTGACAGTCGGTATGGCGAGATAATAAATATAGACAGAATGAGATTGCCGATGTGGTGGTGTCATGACCCTCAAACATGAATGTATTAACCTCATCGCGTATTTGGGCATCCGTTAGTGGCTGGCCATCGGTGGTGGTAGATTGTAAGAGCACGTCTAGCAGCGCCATGCGTTGTTTTATGCCGTTTTCTGCAAATATAATACATATCATATGTACGTGTATGTAACTTATTTTATTTCCCACCAAAATATTTTCACCTCTCTATCCCTATAAAGAGGGTACACCTACATATATTGCAGAGAAAATTGTCGAGTGGATATCGGACATTTCTCTTTACTCATTATTGCTTAAGGGTATCCAATTAAAATCAATCTCCATCTAGGAAGGCCTTAATGTCCGCTTAGTTGTCTACCTTAATAAGTATTCTTCTTTTATATAGGTCTGCCCTTGCTACAGCCTCGTTCCGCTTTCATTTTAGAGCCAATTGTATAGATATGCAGAGCTTTGTCAGCAAGCTTAAGCTCAAAAGTTTATTACTTACCAGCCAATTCACTATGGATTGCTGCTGATTTTGAATTGCTCTTATTTTGTAATGCCACACGACGCTCCTCAATAATTCTTTCCGTAAAAGTATGCATTATTTCAATCCCTCCCATTTGTTTCTCATATTGTTGGGGACGCAGTAGCTTAAAGAAGCGCGGATAGGCCAATATCGGTCGTATGAAACGTGTGGCCACTATGTTAGTAACACTGGAGAGCGAGAAAAAGCAAAGCAAATATCCTTTCAGAACATTGAAAAAAATATTTATTAGAAACTCACTCATTCACCGCTTGCACAAAATCCGACTTGCAGTCGTGTTGTGCATTTACACAAACGCCCATTGCAGTTTCTATGTTAAGCAAAAATTTCAATCATGCCACATTCAAAAAGTTCGATTGTTAAAGGACCTCACCTGCAATCACATCCAACGTCATTAGTCCTACGTGCGGATAAATGTCCACAGCTGTTTCGACATCGGCCAGTGTTGCCAATTTCCGCACGAAAACTCGACTTTGTCGTTCAAACACGTCCACAAATTGTTCGAGTATCTTAAAATGAAAAGCGGGTGTAATGACTTTGCGCATCGTCTGCCATTTTTGTCCAGAACTCAGCAGCAAACCGTCTCCCAACCAACCGCGCAGTAGCCAATAGAGTTGATTCTTCTGTATATGTTTCTGACTACTAAGTAGCTCTTCAACATAACGCGGCTCGGCCGTTACGACCATTACACCATTTAGTAGGGGCGCGCAAAAGCTTTTGCCGAAACGTGAGACAAACTCGTTGAATTTCAAATGTAGATCTTTAAGAGAAATTTCAAAAATAAACGAAATTTTTATAATTTCTGCAGTTTAACGGTACATATATGTACTTAATACAAGTATGTACTCACTATCTGGTTGAAATCGCGCCAAAACAAATATACAACCCACTAACGGTATATTGGAAACAAGCGGTATGCGTTTGTAAAATTCCTGCTTACTCATACAGAAGTGGCGTAAAACGATGAACAGCAGCACCGTTAGCAGCAGCTCCGAAAGCATTTTGTTGTGTATTTTTATTTTGAGAAAATTTCAATTTTATTTTATTTTATTTGAACAGTTTGACAATTTCGCGTTGTGCAACATCTGCCGTTGCGTGCAGCACTGTGACTTGATACTGCATTTAGCTAACAATTTGTCAAAGTATTTATTACTTTTTTTTTAAACCCGATTCCTTTTAATCTCGCACTGTAGTGAATCTCGCTAAATAGAGAAATAATAGTAATCTTTGAGCGTTTCCACCCCGCGCCAAACGAATCCATCATCACTGCATCACAGTTGCAACTGTAGTTCGTTCTATTGATTTAATCTTAGCCCGACCATGCCGTTTTCATCTGCATACTGATTTTGTTCACATGACGGCTATCTATAATACCGTTAACTAAAAGAGACAGATATGGGAGCCACTGGAAATGACGAGACGAGGACGTACCGATAGACTTTAAACGCCATTCACTGAGAGACCGTCAACACTTACTTGGACTCTCTTCCAGTGAACGGCGTTCTCGGACTCCAAACACCATCCATTGCAGACGAACAGCTCAAGCTGTCTCAAGAAATCCGAGTAATATCGGTACTATGATGAGTGCATAAGTTCGTGCCCGATTCCGTTGGATGCCGTTCGAATCGTTTGAGAGTGGCGCTCGTGAAAGAAATATATACATATTATATATCGTTGGAAAGGTGACAGTCCGAACTGTAAATCAAGCATAAAATAACTTCATTTTGATTTGAGTTGCTTAGTGAAAAGACGCATGGAAGATGGACAACGAAAAAGATCATATGCGTCATATTATGTTATACGAATTCCGCAAAGGAAAAACAGTAGGCGCTGCAACTAAAGATATTCGCGAAGTTTATTTGGACCGTGCTCCAGCACTCCGCACAGTAAAGAAATGGTTCGCGAAATTTCGTTCTGGAGATTTTAACCTCGAAGATCAACCTCGCAGTGGACGGCCTTCTGAGCTTGATGACGATGTTCTAAGGACTTTAGTTGCGAATAACTCACGTATTTCGACGGAAGAGGTTGCCAGTGAATTGAACGTCAACAAATCAACTGCGTTTCGTCGTTTAAAAAAGGTTGGGTACACTTTGAAGCTCGATACATGGGTGCCACATCAGTTGAGTGAAAAAAACAAAGTGGACCGTATGTCAACAGCAATTTCTTTGCTTCGACGGATCAAAAACGAACCTTTTTTGGATCGGCTCGTGACTGGTGATGAAAAATGGATCCTGTACAACAATGTTCAACGCAAAAGAACATGGAAACAGGCACACGAAGGGGCGGAACCGATGTCGAAAGGTGGATTGCATCCGATGAAGGTACTGCTGTGCATTTGGTGGGATATCCGAGGCGTGAACGTGAATGCAGAACAATTTGAATGGAAAAAAAATAAAAAATGTGGAAGACGTCAAAAACCACCTTGACACCTTTTTCAACGAGAAACCGCGCGATTTCTATGAATCAGGCATCCGTAAATTGGTTGAACGTTGGGAGTGGATTGCCGACTATGATGGCGAATACATAATTAATTAATAAAAGCGCTTTCTTCAAAAAATTTCATTTTTAGTTTGCACTTGAAATCGGGCACGAACTTATGCACTCATCCAATATTAAGATCTGCATAGTGCAGCCGTTTTAATTCCTATTTATCCAGACTTGACCTCGAATATCCAAAGGCCTGCAGGAAAACAGTTGGTTTGTATGTCCCTTAAAACCTGCTTACCGAATTCCCCTTTTCTTCTGGTCCATACCGTTCGGAACCCAAACTAGTCTTGCCACTAAAACAAAAAGACGAAAGGATTTGGTTAAGCTAAATCTGTCTAACTCTGACCGTCATCTGTTCATCCGACACAACGGCGACAACCTGATTAGTTTGGCACACATATTCGCCATCTGCGATTGCTACTTCTCTCACGCGAACCCTCAAACAGTACCGAAGAAATTTGCTTAAACAAAAGTGTTAAGCGGAGAAAATTCTTTAATTATTTATTTTAGTTCATCTCAACTAATTTTGTTTGCTTTCAGAGCTGCCAATTATATTAATACTGTCAAATAGATGTCATCTGTGTCAACTGTACGCTATCTATACCACCTTTTATTTCCTTTCGGCCCCACTCGAACTTTGGTCTTCCTTATTATTTTTGATTTATTTTCAAAGAAAACGTGTATGCGTTCTTATCAATTAATAATGAACGCTGGATTTCATTGAGAATACACAAGTTCAATGTGCAGGCACGAGGACGCCGCATAAGTTCATGCAATAGATTATACGTTATAATTCTTCCAAAATCCAAAATCGTATAGAGAGCATCCTTTTCACGTAGTATTCCTTCGGTGTTCAAGTATCATTATGTTCATTAGAATTTATTGTAGCCCTCCACCTTTCGATTACCACTCTCTTTCGAAGCCAAATGTCAAAATGATCAATTATTACAAATAATTATTCTATAGGAAATCGAAATCGTCGAAATTGTAACTTTTTGGAGTGCTCAAAAAATATCGCAAATTTTGTGTTCTTTCAAAAATTATTTATTTATTCATGAATATCCTTTTTGTCCCCTTCAAAGTAATCCCCATGAGATATTATACACTTGTGCGAACGGTTTTTCCAATCTTCGAAGCACTTCGAAAAATCATTTTTATTTTATCTTGTTCAGCTCCTCCTTCGATGACGTCTTTATCTCGTCAATCGTAGCGTAACGCCGTCATTTCATGGGCCTTTTCAGTTTAGGGAACAAGAAAAAGTCACAAGCACTCTCTTCGTCGTTCACATCTTCTCCACCTTCTGAGAACATTTTGTACCACCGATAAACGTTGCTTCGGTCCAAGGTAGCTTCTCCGTATGCCACAGTCAACATTCGGAATGCATCTGCGCACTTAATTTCGTTTTTTACACAAAATTTGATACAGGCTCTTTGATCCATTTTTTTGAATAGGTAAAAATCGAAGACCATCCAAAACACGTGCAAGCAAAGCAGCTGTCAACAATTAAGTGAACATTCAAAATAGCCGAGCTTGTCGGCATAAGTGACAGATATGAGTACCAACATAACGCCACAAAAAAATCGAAATTCGATTATATGTAACCCGCGAAAATTCAAAATTCGCGATACTTTTTGAACACATCTCGTATGTAAGTAACTTTACACGTATGCTACCTACAACACCAAAGAGAAAGTCGCGCGAATTTGATGTTATGGCAAATTTTTTGAAGGATCACCGGGATTGAACAATGGTTGAAAAATCTTTGGTGAATATTAAAAGCCCGTAAAGTATTGCCTGAAGCGCACCTTAAGTTGGTAAATTTTTGATTTCGGTACAATTGCAGTTTATTGTCCACCACTAACGCAAATGTAACGAATTCGATATTTCTGTGCTGGCTTTGTGAATTTGCTTGATATTTCAGCACAGTGTTGCTTACTAATTGTGAATATATGCAAATAAACTACATATGTATATTATCATGCGCATTTGGCGGCTAAGGATACTTTGAAATTCTTTCAGTGTTTGTGTTTTTTGGACCTTCCCTCGTAAATATGTATGTTAGTGTATTATACACATAAGTAGTTTATGACAAACATAAGCCGTTTATGGCAAAATAATTATTAATTTAATACATTTATTTATACTATATTATGTGGCTTGTCCAACCATACATATGTATGTACACTCTACGCAATTTTAATTATTTTTCGCATTGCCAATTGTCTCATGTTGTCTGTTTTTTTTTTTTTTTCATTACCAATAGCGCTATGATCACCAAGGAAGCGGTCCATGCAATCGTTGCCTGTTGACAGGAGGCGTCTTTTATTATTAACCCGCTTATCAATATTATTTTTAGAAATGAAGCGCGCAAATTTTTTTTCTTTCACTAATAACTTTATTTGATTATATTTAATGCCTCTAACTGTGCTATATTAGAGCGGCTTATAATTACAATCATTCTAACCTACTTTTCAATAATGTCAGAAAGCGTAAATACACGTACATATGTACATAGTTACATATGTACATAATATGGCGGTTAAGGACATCGCCAAGTAGTTTATGTTAGTATAACATAGCTAACTGCTTTCAAAATTATAAATAATATTTAATTATTAAACAAATATATGTAAGCACATATGTTGTATGCGTCCATAAATACGTGTTACATTACAATTAAATTAATTATTTACACACAACAAACATTACTATCACATAAATATTGTAAGTAAATAACTGTTATCACACCATTAGCTGAACATAAACAATGTTAAGCGTTTACGTTTAGTTAGCTTTAACGAGTTTTCACTGCACATTTTTCCAAAAAAAAAAGAAAGAATTTGTAATATTTTTATCTTCAAAAAATTCTGTTGAGCCACTACTCAAATGGCGTGTTTGAGTAGTGTTTATTTAAAGAAAAATACACCATTTGAGTAGTAGCGTAACAGTAACCTTTGCAATTTGATTTTCCATTTCCGTTTCTTTTTTTTTCTTTGCTCAAACACTGACAACACGATTTTTGCGTGCGGGATGTGTAGCAGCTTTGGTGTTGCAGAGGTTACTAACACCCAGCATTTTTTCAGCCCAACTATGGTGCTAGATTTTTAACAGTCAATGCAGTTTGTACATAAAATATAAAAATAACATATTCATATGAATATTTGATTATTTATATATATGTATATGTATATGTGTGTAATTAATTATGATTTTATACGGTTATTATCACAGCACACAATCAGCTGAAATAGTTTTTTATGTATGTAGTGTGTTTCAATATAAGGCTCCGTTGGCAGTATGCTCGAGCACATAAAACAGATTCATTTGTTTAACACACGGGTGTAATTATTAATCGCATTCAACATGGTAACATGCCTTTAAATATATTTATACAAATTTATTAAAATAAACAACTCTACAATATTTAGCTGTTGCTAGTTGTTCACTATCGCGTACTCACAACACTAAAAAAATGCAAAAAAAAAAAATAATTATAACTCCAATGCGAACAGCTACAAAAAGAAATGTATTATTAAATTGTTTTTATATATTCGTTTTTTTTTATTTGTTTTTTTTATTTGTTTTTTTTTATTTGTTTTTTTTTTATTTGTTTTTTTTCTTTTAATTTTTTTGTTTTGTTTTGTTATGTGCATACTTTTTATGCCCACCCCCAACAACTAATAATGTTTGTTATTACGTAGAGCGTGACCGCATGTAGTGTCACCCTCTACACACAAACAATCGCTCGCAATAAACAATCGTGTGATGTGAATCACTACAACTACACTAATTACACCAATAGGTATGCAAATCGCAATTTTTAATCTTTCGTTGAAACTGTGCATAAAGAGCCTTAACCTATTGCCATTGTATAAATCAATGCGAAATTTGTCTCCTTCTACGCTCTGACAAAGGTTCATAAGCGTATTTTTTTAAACCACTTTTTATTAAATCCAATATATAGTTAGAGAGCTTAGAAAAACAATTTTTTGCACATTTGCCGTTTTCAAAGAATCACCGGTTCTATTGCCGCACACCAGTCGGTCGAAGAGCAACAACATAACTAAAATTCTAATAATAAAATTGTTTTGTATGTATATTTTCACTGCGCCGCCAAGAGCATGAAAACTATTTGAGTGGGAGCGAGTGTGTCGGTCGGCAGTCACTACCGGTTAATGAAATGACATTGAAGAGAGAAGGAAATGCAATGAGGAATAAAAATATTTAATCTATTTCAGTGTTGTTCAAACTGTTTTGCAGCCGGAAGCTGAAATTTAATTATACCCATCTTTAGTGTGTATAAAGGGATACTAAGTTTTATTTAATTTTTTTTTCTTTTGTTGTTGAGGCTTTATACATATATACGTTCAATTTTGATTATTATCCTAATTAAGTTTCAGCTAATGCACAATTTAAATTTCCCATTATATTATTGATCTAGAAACGTAAGTATGTATTATACATATGTACCTAATTGCCGTCAATGTTTGGCATTCTAATATTAAGGCAGCTGAGTCACTTTTACCTACTGTTGGAATATATCATAGAGTCATAGATATCAGATAGAGTCATAGATATGCCGCTTTTTCGCTTCTAAAAGAATGCCAGGAAAGCCTGGATTCAGTAATACTATGAATTATCTAGAGCGGAGATCGCTTCAGCGGTTGTAAAGCACCAAGAAAATAGTTTCTATATTAATAGTGGTGGACAAAAGCAAAAATGAGAGTTTGTAAGTAGAAGAAGATCGAAAGCCCTAAATTGATTATTATTAAATGCTCGTTGTAACTTTTTATCATCAAGGCATATAATAAGCATTTCATTTTAAGCAATAAAAATGGTAAAATATTTCTGAAAGCAAAATAATGAGAGAATACATCTCGACACAATTGTGCTATGAAATGAAGACCATTAATTTACATATGTAGATATTAATATACATACCTTCATATACATATTGTTTTTATTTTTAAAAACATCATTTTCAGGTCATGGACAGAAAATAATTTTATCTAATTCGAATAATAAATAAAACTTTTTCGGATAGAGCTATAGACCGCTCCACTTCTCAGAAGAAAAATTTATACAAGCAATAAGGTATTTATTTATCAAATTTCAAGAAAATCAAAGAGGTAAGAAATACATAAGTCATGATTTTATTTTTTACAAAGCTGTCTTCAATTTTATGTACAATAATATAAAAACTTTAGTTTTACTACTGCTACAGTGGCTTTCACACCAACAGACTATTTCGGCTGTTACATACACGTACAGTGGCATTCAATTTTTTCAGGTAGCGTTATCCGTTATTGCACCTACCGGTCTTATTTATAAACACGCGGCTTCAAACCCATTTCACTGCCATTCTGTGAACGCATTACAATACTCATTGATGGACGCATTTTTTCGCCGAATGGCAAAAGTTCGTAATAACGTAAAATTTTACTTATTGTGCTCTTCATTTCCAAAATGGCAAATTTCTGACCAATACAATTACGTGGACCAGCACTGAAGGGTATATAACTATAAGCATGCATTTTTTCGCCACCATCACCAGATTCATTTAGAAAACGTTCGGGTCGAAATGCGTCGGGATCGGTAAAATATTTCGAATCGCGTAGCATAACATAGATGCCAACAGTGTAATTTGTGCCGGCTGGAATTAGTTTGCCATCTGTGTGAAAAATAAATGACAGTTGCATTAAATTAAATGTCATAATTTACTATTGTATGGCAGGTGCTTACTTAAATTGACATCTTCTTCGAAGTTGCGACCAATTATTGGCACTGGTGGATATAGCCGCAATGACTCCTTTATTACGCACTCCATGTATTTGAGCTCACCCAAGCCACGCAGTGAGACCGGTCGCTCCCTGTCATCGCCCAACACATGACGTATTTCATCAAATAATTTCGCCTGCACTTCGGCATGTCTGGAGATCAAATGCAGGCAAAATGATAGTGCGCTAGTTGTGGTGTCGTGACCTTCAAACATAAATGTATCTACCTCTTCACGTATATCTTCATTGCTCAGTGGTTGCCCATCAATGGTGGATTGCAACAGCACATCCAGCAAGGCCATGCGAGGTTTCGCGCCCACATCAGCATCTACACTGGCCGTTGAGTTATTAGCGAGTGTTTCTTCAAGCGCTGACCGACGATCGATAATTATGCGCTCGGTGAACTCGTGCATTAACTTGATACTAGAGTAAAATTCTTGTGCATCTTTCCGTGCGACGAGACGGAAAATGATATCAATACGTTGCCAGATATTGATGAAACGTTTTGCTAAGATATTCGTGACACTAAAGGTGGAGAGTAACGTGAAGCTGTATTTGCAAAGTATGCATGCCTAAGGCTGGATGACTTACGTATTTACGGCCCGTACATAAGGAAACTGGGGATTCATTTGCGCATTCACTTTGGTGCCCATAGCAGTTTCTGTGCTCATAACGGGCATTTCCAAAAGAGGAAGCCAGTGAGGTAGAGAGAGAGAGAGAGAGGCAGAGAAAAATGAAGATAGTTAGAAAATGGATGTAAATATCTGCCTGCTTAATACATATTTACGTCATTAAAACATATACTAAAATACCATTCGCTAAATGCAACAAATATTTTTTAACTTGTCGGCCATATCCATTACGCTGACCCTACCTGCGATCACATCCAATGCCATCAAACATATGAACGGTGATACATTCACCACCGACTTTCCATCGGCATGTCGATTTAATTTCTCCACCAGCACTGCGCTCTGTTGATCGAAAATTTCTACAAATTGTTCGAGTATTTTAAAGTGGAATGTTGGCGTAATGATTTTCCGTCGCGCATGCCATTTTCGACCAGTGCTCATAAGTAAACCTGTGCCAAGCCAAATATGCAGTAGATCATAGAGATTATTTTTCTTAATATGCTGGGAGCTGCTAAGTATCACCTCCACGTCGGCAGGATCGCTAGAGAAGATAGCCAATTGATTAAGTACCCATACCCGATAGAGTGGACCATATTTATCGCGATTCGCTATTATGAAGCTCATAATGTCTGGAAAGAAGTATACAAATAGCTGGAGATAACATAAAAACAAAAAATACAGGAAACAAAAAGGTCGAAAATATGGAAATGAAAATAATAAAAAATACAAGAAAAAGAAAGGAGAAATTTCTAAAATTTAGAGAAAAGCAAATAAGGTGAGATAATCGTGTTTTATAGAATTTATTTTGTATATTATATACGTGCATAATTAGCTTTCATATTAGATAGTTGATAAGATGGCCGAAATTCTGTAAAAGTTAACGGTCATTCGAGGTTTGAGAGACCTTGAACTAAAAAGAGAAAAACTGTAGCCACTGGTAGATTAATTACAAACTAAATATATATGTATACGAGTATGTGGACTTTATTTATACATTGAAACATTGATTGTGAAAAGATAAAGAATTATAACTTAAAACATATTATGAGGCATATCCAGAATGTACTGAATTTATATATTATATATATATTATAACAATTTATAACCAAACAAAAAAAAAAACCTAATGCTTTAGTACATAATGTAAGCTATTTTTCGCCATTCCTCTCTATGCGGGTGATGAAATGGGGTATTAGTCTTTCGATGCCTTCCTCGAAGTAGTTTTCTGAGGGTTTCTGAGATCTGAAATTTGTGGAAATATCGCAGAAAATTCATCGACGGTAAATTTACTACAGTCACTGAGCGCATTTTTGATTTTTGTCGGACATTTCGATAGCCACAATTTTAAGACATTCCGCTTCTCTGCATATCCTGCACAGAGGTTCGACCGCGCCACTGTCGCGGGAACTATTAAGTTTTACCCATAGGGGCTCTACATTTTTGTATTCTGCCAGTATGATGGAAATTATATCCCACAGGCGGTGAGAGCCGCACTACACTTATTTTCTGGATATGCCTCGTATTTGGTTCTTTTTGAACAAACGAAAGAGAAAAAAGGAAATCACCCACCTTCTGGTCCTTTACCACGATACATAAGAGCATTACCCACCAACGGCAATGCTTTAGGACCGGCCATATAACGTAATATTTCATTACGGCGCTTCTTCAGTAAATAATCCCAAAGTAAAATAAGACCGGTCAGTATTATGGTCAATTCGATTAACAGAGACATTTTGTCATTCGCGATTTTTTTGTGCTTCAGAAGTATCGAAATTTACATTGATCTTTTATCGATATTTATTTAACTCACACCTACCGCTGTAGATCGATCACTGTTTAAATAATAATACAAAAAATCGATTATAAAAGTAGAAAAAGCAAATAACTGTTATACCGCTACACAACAATTGCGTTTGGCAGTTTTCACGTTACTAAATTAAATAAATTCTTAGTTTGTTATTATGCATATGCATATGTATGTACTCGTGTGTACATATGTACGGGTGTGTGTACGCATATCTGCTGAGTCAATACAAATACTTGCATATTGATAAACGCTTGATTAAAGCCGGTTATGGCTGCTCCAATTATACTAGTGCACAAGTACAGGTTTCGAAGTGGATGCTGGAGTCGCACCAAAAAAAAAAAACGTGAACGTACTGAGGTGCATTGAAATGGTTCTACATTGCGATTTCCAGACCGAAAACAAGTACCGGTCATGAGATCGAAAATACCTGAAGTGCTCATTTGAGCGGGGCGCCACCGCTTTTTGTGTTGTGCATCTCCTCTGCAGCTCCTAAGAGATTAGGTTAGCTTACAGTGGCCGGCAGACACGCCTTAGATGTGTAGGCGGAATTCATTATTTTGTTAAATGGTGTTGCATAGTGTATGTCGAAAGGCAAAACGAAAAACGTGAAGCTGTCGCTTGTTTATTTTGTGATAACATTGTATGCTAGTACACAGCTATATATGTATGTATGTATGTATGTATATAAATTGTTTCAGTATCTTTGATTATTGCGCTCTCTCTCTAGAGAGATCTGCAGAGAAATAATAACAAATGTGATCTCCCTCGCTCTCCCTGAATACCACCATAATCAGTAATAATCGCAGCGTAGATCACCCTGGTTTTCCAATTTATTTGAGCGTTGGCATGTTGTACTTGGCTTAACGCCGTGTCAGATTTTAGTAAACGCAAATATGTACAATATATACATACATAAATATATGTAGTTGAATTGAATGATCTCTAATGACATCATCACCGCCAAGGGGATGTGTGGGCGGGACAAGGTCGGTGTTTATGACAGCAATTACAAAGGTCATACAAAGTGCCAGATATTAGGGTTCTCCCATCCTTTAAATACATTTGTATGCAACCTTTGTGAGTTCTAGAAAAATGTTTTTTGATATTGAGTTACATATATAATAGATCTCAATAAACGTGCAGTCACATCTTCCATCTCTGACTGGACAAAGTAAGCCGCGAAACGTCTGGGGAGTAAAATGATGTCAAGAGGATTTCCACTTCTACCTCGTCACCACGCAAACAGTCATTGTTGACACTGAAAACTTTCGTCTCTCTAGGAGATTCGTCAGTAATACAAAAAACTCCCAATCCTGAAATCCTACTCAGAATCACTCTTAACAACCGCTGCCATTTTGATCTGAGAACGCAGGCAAAGTACGCTTACGACGAACAAAAACCGTACTCGCTCATAACTTCCGTCCTGCTGTGTTGATTTCTCAAGCTAAGATCTACTCTCTACAGCAGAGCGTGCAGAGCTACCTTAGTTTCACCTAGCCAGACAAAGGCTGAGAAAGTGATGTTATGCACTATCATCACACACATACTTACATATGTACATGTGCATTTTACAAATTTTTGAAGCACTTTAGGCACTCTCGATAAGATAAAGAATAAGAATAGCAATGCAAATGCAAGAAGATCCGCGGACAAGTGATATAAATCAATTTGAAGAAAAAATAAATAAACATTTTTTCTCTAAAAGAAAATACTCTATAATTCTAAAAAAGGCGAGTCAGAAAATATTAATAAAATATTTATGTACTAATGTACATACATATGTATGTACATTCAAAAATTTGCGTGCAACTGGAAAAGAGGCTCGCTCCCTAAACAGGTTTTGGCACAGCCAAAATTTTTTTTGGACTTTGAACTCCCGTACATACATATGTACATATGTATGCATATCTAAAATGTGCACACTCGCTATCTTACACATATTTTGTGTTATCTGTGTATATCTATTTACAGGCAACGAGTACATACATACATAGCTAAGTAGAAGGATATACATTGTGAATAAATGCAACTTGAAAACTGTTTTATTTTTATAACATTTAAAAAAATGATCGTGAAAATAAGCTATTTAATGAACACACACACACACATACACACATAATTATAGGAAAAACTCGCACATAGCTAACATTGAATGACTTGCAATATTATGGCGGGTAACGTAACGTATAAATAAACGACCGGCAAACAAACAATGTTTTAGTTTCCATTCGGTAGTTCAGTGTCAAGTGCGAACGGAATATCGTAGCTGCAAAAAGTGTGAAAATTTGAAAGGTTGCAATTGTTTTTGCTGTTTCTTAAAGGACACTTTCCAAATTTGTGGCGAATATTTTTCAGTCCTTTTGTGTCGAGGTAAATTCGTAATTATCGAGTGTAATCGATTAATTTTTGTGCCTGCAATCTGAATTAATATTAAAGCGTCGCTTGTTTACAATAAAAGCTTGTTGATTTGATGGAAATTTATGATAATTGCATAATTGCTGGAAGAAATATGTAATTAAGATATTAAAAAGAAAAAAAAATAATTAATAATAATGCAATTTGTATAATAAGCGGAATGACAGACTTAGACTAGGAATTGATAAATTTTCACTACGTTAAATTGTCGTGCTTTCTACGAGAAATATTGAAAGTCTTGGCAGATCTTAGAAGCCCGATAGAAGATATCAGCCAAAAATGGTTTAAGTTGAGAATACCCTACGTGCTGAAGATCCTGTATGATTGGCGGAAAAAAAACGGAGACGTTTGTTGTTATTATTACGGACAGATTTTTGTGAAGTGAAATTCTAGTCAGTTACATAGTAGATAAATATAAAACTAGTTGGATGGGACGATGTGCGCGGCGATCATTGGTCTATTGTGGCCTCTACACAGTTCAGCTTATAACTTGATTTTCCCCTTATTTAGTTTCCTGTCGTATTCCAACCCCACAAAATGCGGGATCTGATCGTGCATGATGAGTGCACTCTGGGTGTCACTGCAAGTTACTGTATTCATTACTAAGCCTTCGTGCCTCTTTTAAGTATTGTTTCCGCTCATGAAGAGATAGCAAATACTTTGGCTTGGGTGATACTTTTTCCGGGTTCCAGTCTTCGACCAATATGTGTACCAACCTCTGAGTATATCCCTTGACGTCCATACATACATACATACATATATATTGTATAACCACTTTGTAACCATTTAAGCGATTTTAAGCCGAGCTTCTCCAATTTGTGGTGTGCATCTTGTTGTTTTTTCAACAAACTGAGGGATCTACAGCTTATACTAAGCCGTCGCCGAACCGCTGATGGTTTTTCATGAGAAACTTTTATTTCATGTCAGAAATACACTCGGACAGCTGAGGAGCGACCGCAATTAGATAATAATTTTTAGATGTTAGTTGGACCAGAATTCGAACGCAATGCTAACCACACAGTTATCGCGGCCAAGCCTACATAGCTTATTATAAGTTCCCAACTTCTTGTGCTTCACCCGCAGCTACAATACCCGTTTTCCAAAAATGTTTATCGAGTTAATTATACTCGCCCTGACGGTACTACTGGTTTGGGATTACCTCTTCAAAATGCATCGAAATGATTTATTAAACAAATATAAAATACCTGGACCCCCATTGGTGCCACTCTTAGGTAATGCACTCGAAGTAGGAAAATGGAAAACAGACGGTAAGTAGAAGCAACTGGAACTCTTGACGTGTTCCGTGTGAGTAATACTACTTCTTTCCACAGAAATAATCGCCAAGACTTTCGAAAATCGCATGAAATATGGCAAAATTATGCGCTTTTGGGTGCTCCATCAACTAACCGTTATCGTATCGGACATCAAATATTTAGAATTTATATTAAGTAGCCAACAGTTAATTAAGAAAAGCAGTTTTTATGATTTTTTGGTTTGTTGGCTGGGTCGGGGCCTCCTATTGAGCACTGGCCGGAAATGGCATGCGCGCAGAAAGATCATAACACCAACCTTTCATTTCAAAATACTCGAAGAGTTCGTAGAGATTTTTGATCAACAAAGTGGCGTTATGGTGAAGAAACTCAAGGAGCAAGCCGATGGCAAGACCGCGATTAATATCTTTCCAGTTGTCTGTCTCACTGCTTTAGATATAATCGCCGAGACGGCTATGGGTGTGAAGGTGCATGCGCAGGACAATCCAGACATTGAATATGTGCGCGCAGTGGCATCGTAAGTTTTAGTTTTCTCTTTTAGAAAATTAGGGAGATTATTAATGGAAACTAATTTTCTTCTTCTTTTATTTTCCACCCAAAGTGTTGCCGCCACTATGGCCAAACGCTTTATGACGCCCACGTGGCGTTTGGATTGGCTTTTCCGCCTCACGGCACCCAATGAATATAAGAAAATGATGCAAGAGACTGCCGTTATGCATAAATTCACAAATGCTGTAATCATGGAGCGCCGCGCCGCATTGGAGCAGAAACAGACGAGTAGCGCCGACGAACCGGAGGTGGATGATGTGGGTAGTAAGAAGCGCATGGCTTTATTGGACGTACTTTTACAAGCCACGCATGACGGCACGCCATTGAGTAATGACGACATACGTGAAGAGGTCGATACATTTATGTTCGAGGGCCACGACACCACTACCAGTGGCATCTCTTTCTGTTTGTATCTCATCTCGCGACATCCCGATGTTCAGCAAAAGTTAGTGGAGGAGATAAACGATGTGATTGGCACAGATAAAACACGGGCTATAACGCTGCACGATTTACAAGAATTAAAGTATTTAGAATCTGTTATTAAAGAGTCATTGCGTTTGTATCCACCGGTACCGGTTATTGGACGTGAGACTACAGAGGACACGCAACTGGGTAAGTGGCAAGTTCGCCTTTGGCTTTGATGGCAGTAATTTTTGGATTTTCCTGCATACTCTTTCACAGGTGACATTGTCATACCAGCTAAGACGAACATTAGCATTCCATTCTTTATGGTGTTACGCGATCCCGAGCATTTTCCCGAACCAGATGCCTTTAAACCGGAACGATTTGTCGTCGATAGTGGGAATAAAATGAATCCATTTTCATATGCGCCCTTCAGTGCGGGGCCCAGAAATTGTATTGGTCAGAAATATGCGGTGTACGAGATGAAGAGCACGATTAGTAAGATTTTACGAAATTTCGAGATTTTACCGGCGGAACCGGATGTTAAGCCGATTATAAATTTGATTTTGCGCTCAGCTACTGGTGTTCATATTAAATTAAAGCCCAGATCTGATTGAAAGTAAGAGGTATGTATGTACTTAAAAGAAAAGTGTTGTGTATATCTTCGCTTTGTGGCAGAATTGTTGTAAATATGTTTCCAATGAGAGGAGATATTAATTGTTTTAATTTAAATCTTAAATATGTCTAAAAACTAGGTGAATCTTAAATTTAAGATGATTTAATTTAAATTATTGTTAAATCCATAATCATATGATTGTCAATCACAATGTCAAATTTTCTCTTTTTCTATAAAATGAAAGTGAATAGTCAATAAAATAATTTAGTGAAGTAATGTCTTAATTATATTGTATAAATAAGTGTGATAATGTATTTTTTGAAAAAAAAAAAGAATTTAAATAAATAAAGTTTTTATTTCACTTACTTAATTATAAAACTGCATATATATTTTCTTGAATTTATACTTTTTAAATAAAAACTATTAACATTCATTACTTATGCAATTTTCATATTTTACGTATGTTTTTTTCATATCCTTTTCACTAGCATTTACATTTGTTAAGTTGAAGTTATTTAGTATTATTTTTCTTAAGTTTTTGAACAAATTTTTGACATTTAAATGCTTCTTCAAGCATGCCATTACGGTTCACAAGTCCGTCAATCATTTGTATAAAAAATTTAAAGTTGGCAATAGTTAAACCATACGTCAACGAAATTGTTCATACAGCAAGGTGGTCTATTGCCATTTCACTCTCGCCAACACATTTTGAAGCGAGTTGAAATTTTTTCGAGCAACATTTTCGCAGTTGGCTGCGTCAGTTCCATTTTGACGGCTGTGAGAAAAATTTCGTACATTTAACGCGCGAAATTTTCTCTATTTTAGTGAAACAGCAACCTAGATAAACTCCAAAAACTGTGCAAAAATAAAGAATAATCCTAAAATATTTGCTACGTTGGAGAACGGTAGCACGAGCACTTAGTTGCAAAATATAGACTACCAAAAACGTAAACGTTTTTGTTTCGTGCGTGACGTGAAGAAAAAGTTACATTCTTTGATTTCTGCAGCGGCGTGTTAAAGTAAATATAATCGCTAGAATTTCACAAAAATTCTTTCTGTGGCTAGAAAATGTGGTTTATATAGGTTGAATGAAGAATTTCGGTTTGCACTGGTATATTGAAAATGTTCTTATGATGCATTTGTGGCTCACTTAATTAAAGCTGTTGTTTAATTCTAATACATATTTGATCTCTTTTTGCGCTAAATTAAAATGGCGCTGGTTGTGTGTGATGTACAGGTATAGTCGCATGGTGGTGGCCGAAATGTATGCGGCGACGCGAGCAGCGACTTCAAAATGTTCGCTGTCAATGGCACCCCGGTAGACATAGAGAGCGCAAAAAAAAATTTTGAAGAGGTTCTTGGTTTTTTTTTTTGAAAAATGTGTATTTTATTTTTTTGGTGTGTATTGTGATGTTTTAGTTATTCATTAACTGTAGATTATTTCATAGGCCTACGTGGGCGCTTAACCCCTGCAGCGAATTGTGCTGCTCTGCTTCGAATGTTTCGCTGCATTGGGTTACGCGGCAGAGCTAAGTCCGCAAACCGATTCCAAACAGCGAAAAAGTAGCTCGTTTTTGTGATATTGAATGGAGGAGTACTGCGCTGGGAATTGATATATTGCTTGTACAAAATATATAGTGTGAAAATCAGCCAGTAAAAATAGTAAAACTATTTATAGAAATAGCAAGATCTAGAGAACATGTAGGTGGGCGTTGGATTGCTGTGTAGGTAGTGAAAAGGGCCAATATGCCATAAACTTCAAATGCTATGAACAAGTAGGCACGCTTAAAGCTAGGATTAAATATTCTCATAATTTGGCAAATTTACAATAAAACGCTGTCGAAATTGAAAGATTGGGTTGAATGACCTCTTATTTTCGATTACACATTTATCAGCGCAGATTAATTATTAAGGAAAAATAATTATGTTGTTAGTTTGCAGATGAGCTTTAATTTTTTACGCATTTTTCAAACATGCATCATATCGTAAAATTTTAAATATTTTGTACATTTCACCATATATTTGATTAAAACATCTACCACATATTGCGCTGTTTTTAATTCTTCATATTTATTTTTGTGTTTTATTTTCAGTTTTGTTTTGAAGCCTTAACTGAAAACAGCTTTTTTATAAAAGAAACTAATGTATGGAAATATGAATAATGGTGGCCACGCGCCATACGGATACAATGGTTATAGACCGAGGTATTTATGCACAAAATTTTAAATAATAATTTATTATTTTAAGGTATAAATATAAAAATATAATCAAGTAGATTGTTTATTTTATTTTTTCGCTCATCAGTTTGACCTGTTAAAAATAAACATATATTAACCTGTGAGCTGTTCTTGTTAGGTGTTTTAGAACATGTTGCATAGAATTAACTTTCAAAAGCACCAAAAAATTAATTATGCTATTAGTCTCTCATTTGATGAAAGAAAAAAGAAATACTTAGAAATATAATATTATCGATGTCTCACAAATACTTCCAAATGTTTTTTGTAATAATTTTATGAGCATTGTTTGCTCGTTCATCGCTGCATCATATTTCATTTTATTTTATTTTGTTTTTATCAAGAGCTTTACTGCGCCTCCCTAGTATTGTTTCGTCTTCGGTGGCAATTTTCAGGCGATGCTTGTGTATACACTCTTGCACCTTTTTGTTTTATTTTTACCCCTTGTGTAATTACTTTTAATATTTATTCTTAAGTATTGATTTTTTGCTATACATACGGGTGTAAATTTGTAATGTGTATACATACATATGTGCATATATTTTAATAACATTCTTACATATACATACATACATAAATTGCTATTGAAATTTTGCCAAAGAATCTTAGTTGTCGTAGAATGTAATGATTTCCTGTGTACAAAAATATGAATTTTTATACCATAGAATGGGTTTAGGCAATAAAATTTAATATTGCTGGGAATATAGCAAACTTAAAGCCTAAATAAAGGTATACTTCATTTTTTAAATTTTTTTTTAAATACCAGTAAAATTATTTTTTCAATAACTGCTCTATTTAAGGAGCACACCTAGTGTAATGGCCCAAAAAAAAGGTGATTTTTGGGAATTTTTTTTGAAAAAATACTTGACCAATTATTTCAAAATTTTAAGAATATGTTTATACATGTTTTAAGAATATACAGTAAAATTTTTGAAGAAAAAAATTAAATATATTTTAAGTTATAGTCGATCTCCAACGGCGCGAAAAAAAGGTCCTTCACTGCTGCAATGATTCGGGCCTTCTCCGTTGATGAAATCTCAAAAAAAAAAATTCTCTACTATATAATATTGTCTGTACAATGACCTACAATATAAAAATCAAAAATTTACAATATGGCGGCGTTTTAAAAAAAATAGTCGAATTTTACCCAAAATTTTGGTCTTTTTTGGCCTGCCAAAATTCGATTTTTTCATCAGTTCAAAAATCGATAGGTCATTGTACGGAAAGGTATATATAGAACATGTTCAAAATTTGAATCGGATGATTTGTTTTTGAGTAATCCCTGCAGCAAATTCGAAAAATGCTGTTTCGAGAAAAACGCGTTTAAAGATAAAATGATCGTTTTCACTCGTAGCTAATGAGACTCTCCAGCTGCCCAGCGGCTGCTCTTTAAATTGCTAAAACTATTTGAAATATCGATTTGAAAGGTGTAAACTACCGAAATATGAAAACATATAGATTTTTCGAAATTTCACACCAGGTGTGTCCCTTAATTTTAGTTATTTGGCTGTTGTACCCGCAGCAATTTGTAGTTACCGCTTATATTGCGTTGAACATCGCTTAACTTGCAACCAGACGCAAAAATATCTACGAGTTTACAGTACAACTCACAGCTATTTCACTTATTTATTCCCTTGTTTCGTAAAAAAAAATTTCCTTACTTATTATTAAGTTGTGCGTTCATGCGCCAAAAAGTATGTTATGATGATATATATATACTATAATACAATTTGTGCACGAATTTCTACACAAGATTCAGCTAGCCAGAGTGCAACGATTGTAACCAAAATACCACATAACTGCCTGGTGGTAGAGCTGCAACTTGGCTGTTGTGGTTTTTCGGTACGCCATTCCTGTTGCAAATACAAACATTATTTGTTGGTTTTTGTGTATGTCTCAAGGCATGCATCCTGCATTTCGGCACTGTTGTTCAGCTGTTTGTACCACGGCTCTACTATGATGTCCTTTTTGTATCACCCATTTAGTTGATCTACTTTTCTACTAAATACTATCTATTGCAGCTTCTATACGTTTTTTTTTTTAACATACATATTATATGTACATACCTTACGCGCCACTGTTGCCTATTCCCTCTATTATTATTTTCACTACTTCAACTGGCGCTTGACATGTTTTTGACCGCATTTTTCCTTGATTTCCTTGGTTTGTTAACATAGTTTGTGGCGCATACTGTGTTGTTTGGAAAATATATAATAGATATTTCTAGTTTTCGTAGAATTCTTTTTCTTATGCCATTTAAAGAAAAACGCGATTTTCTAAGTACTCAAGTGAAATACACAAGCATTTTTTGAATTTTAGTTTCAGAAATTTAATTACGTTTCTCCAGCTGAAATTAAAGCTTCAACAATTGTATTCCTAATAACCAGCACAAAATATCTCTCTTATGCCTTTTCCAGAAGACACAGGTGTTATTCATTTTCATTAGACGTGTATATATGTGCATATGTATGTCAGCGTAATGCCACAACAAAAATAGTAAAATAATATAAATTGCTTTAACTCTGCAACAGCTGCTCTCCTCGTTGTATATGATATTTAAAACGGTACATAGTACCGGTGGCAATATCAGTATACCATGTGCTATCGGAAATCGATAACAGCGTAGGCGTATAAAAATGAGGCGGTTGTTGCACTAGATGTATCATTAACAATGAATAATTAATAAATTAGAAAAATTACGCAAATAAAATAGTAACCTTGTGGATTTTTCTTTTATGAAATGAAAAAATATTTTATAAACATATTAATATTTATTAATTATGCTAATTAAATTACACCATAAGTAGACGTTTGACCCAGTACTTTTTTTTGTGCTCTCAATTAAATTAAAATTTTCGCCATTAAGCATTAAGCGCAGTAATTATCACCTCTCTTCAGCATTTTTCGCTTCCTTTCGACTATCTCTTTTTTACCTCATATTTTTTTTTTTTGTCTTGTTTCATTTAAGTTAGTGTTTATATATACACGGCTTATTTTGTGCATTCACATTACACTCTCTCGCAGTGAGAGCATCGTTCGCCATACAAACATACGTGTATGTAAATGACAAATCCCACCCATATGATGGGCGTAGGTGGCGTTTTGACCTTTTAAGAACTGACGACCATTAAGTATTTGATATTTTTTTTTACCTCTCTATATTTTTTTTTCTATTTTTTTCTAATCGAGTTTTTCTTGTCAACATTATATACGTATAAGCATATACTCGTATTGTTAAAGAAGGGGAGGGGGTATACACATTGTAGCAAGGTAAAGTAATTTAACATTGACAATGTGCATTTTGTAGTTTCTGTAAGGCTTTTAAAGTGATGAACGATAATTAAGAGCATAGTTGAAATAAATAAAAGGAAGAAAATGGAAACAAGGAAATGAAAAAATATGCAAAATTATACTAATTTTACAAATGGGAAAATTAAACAAATCATAAAAAATTTATATTTACTCTCTTTGCTAATTTTTTGTTTTGTTAAAATTTGCAACAAAAAAATCATTTTGAAAAAGTCATAGTGGCAAAGCACAAAATAACAACTAAATAAAATTGCAAATAAATTAATTGCGGAAAAACGGCGATAAAAACTCTACAACGTAAATGGAAAACGCGAAATTCACAATTAAACAAGGACAAAAATTTAAAATTTTCATGTAAAAAAAAATAAAAATATAAACTATTAATACGTATGTGTATAGTACGTTCACAACTAGCCACAGTACGCATTTGTTATTGTTGAAATATACTAAATAATTAAATAGTTTGGAATAAAATCACAAAACGTGCACAACCAACACAATAACAACAACCACAGTAGCAGCAGTAAGCAATAAAGGAAAACAATAACAACGATGTACCGGTAATTGTTGCACTGTATTCATAAATACATATACATACATACATAATATACGTTCTAGAAAATATTTTTGTTTGAATGCATATACGAGTATATATATGTATGTAAATGTGTAAATATTTCCTTTTTGTTAAAATTTCATTAACCATGAATATTTCATCCAATTCACTTTAGAAATGTAGATACATATGTATATTTATATTTATATAAATTATTTCAGTCTACAAAAATGTGGCTAATGCGTTTATGATGAGGTTAAGCGCACACAAGTGAGTGGGTGTGTGTTTTGAAATTGTTTGAATTATACTATGTATGTACAATACTATGCCTACAAAAACAACATATGACAATGATGCGTCATATGATTCATTACTTATAATGTTTGGTTGAAAGTTTTTAGTAGTGAATGTGTAAAAAATTAAAAATGAATAAATTTAAAATATAAAAATGTACAAAAATTTCGGGAAAAAATTAAACAAGATAAATAACATAAATAAAAAAGTATAGAATATATAGAAAATAAAATACATAAACTACATAAATATATTACATACCAAAAAAAAAAAAATTATAATATATATAAAAAATAAAATATATATAAAAAATAAAATATATATAAAAATAAATTATTAAAAAATAATAAAATAAATAAAAAGTAAAACATAAAAAAATAAAATATAAAAAAATAAAATATATAAAAAATAAATTATTAAAAAATAATAAAATAAATAAAAAATAAAAAATTAAAAAAGAAAATATTAAAAATAAAAAAAAATATATATATAAAACAAAATATAAAAAAATAAAATATAAAAAATTAAAACATAAAAAAATAAAACATAAAAAAATAAAATATAAAACAAAAAAATATAAAAAAAAAACTATAAAAAAATAAAATATAAAAAAATAAAATATAAAAAAATAAAATATATAAAAAATAAATTATAAATAAATGAAATACAAAAAAAATAAAATATTAAAAAATAAAATATATAAAAAATAAATTATAAATAAATGAAATACAAAAAAAATGAAATACAAAAAAATAAAAGATAAAAAAATAAAATATAAAAAAATAAAATATAAAAAAATAAAATATAAAAA